TGACGTGTTACATAAAGAGGATAACATCAACACGGTGAAGCAACATTGGAGTAAGTTGCACAGCATTGTTAGGACCCATTTGCAAGGTGGCTAGAGAGTAGTAAGCTCCTCCAGGACCCTTAGCCAACAGAGAAGTGTGAGTCCCTTTCTCTTCCAATTTGCCCTTGTCCAACACTGCCATCACATTCACATCACAGTTGTTTAGTGCTGAACCTGTGAGCAGCCACCACCACACCAGTCCTGCTTACACCATCAGGCCCTCCAATGCATCTTGCACCATCCTCTCCGATTGCCCGTCGAGCGCGCTGATCGCCTCATCCAGCAGCAGCACGCTTGGCTTCTTCAGTCTGGCCTGGGCTATGGCGATGCACTGCTTCTAACCGCCGGAGAGTTGCACCCCCTGTTGTCGCACCAGGTGTCAACCCTGTCCTTTAGTCCTGAGATGAAGCCGTGGAGAAGGAACGACTCAGTGCGACGGCTGAATCAGATAAAAATGATCAGTAATGACTTTTTACTGGCCAGAACAACATAGTTTAATTGCACCTAATCCGTGCATGAGTTGGTGTTTTCGGAACCGCAATGGAGATGTGCTTTGCCGAAAAGTGTCGACAAAGCACCTTTCAAGATATGGATCGATGTTTTGACCAAAAAAATAAAAAAAAGATATGGATCAATATGGAAATTGACAAACGATGCAAAGGGTCCTTTGTTGATTCTTGGACAAGAAATGTGGATTCACGAGAAAAATTTAAAGGTACGAAGACTCGAGGCAATACTCAAATATAAAGATAACATGAATATAAAATAGAACAACTTATGTTCATTGATTGATCGGTGGCACTTTGCTTGATAGCTACTAGAACGGTTAACAACAGTTGCAAAGAAAGCAAACAACAACCTACGCGACTCCTAAAAATTCAGAAACGTGTATTAACAAACGGTTATCAAGAGCTATTATCATACTCTTAGTGCCTCAACTACATTTCCCATGGTTTTTTTTCCCTGTTTTAAGAAGATTCACATCCCGCATTACTTGAGACCTTCTGAGACGCTCAGCGTGCTCTGGAGGTTCACGAGCGAGTAGTAAGCTCCAGCCGGACCCTTAGCCATCAAGGAAGAGTGGCTCCCCTATTCCACCACCTTCCCTTTGTCTAGCACGGCGATCACGTCGCACGCTTGTATGGTACTCAACCTATGTGCCACCATTAGCGTGGTTCGTCTGACCATTAAGCGCTCCAGAGCGTTCTGCACCACCTTCTCCAACTGGCTATCAAGCCCGCTAGTCGCCTCATCAAGTAACAACAGTGTCGGATTTCAAAGTATGGCTCTCGCTATGGCGACTCTCTGCTTTTGCCCACCGGAGAGCTGGACTCCTTTGTCTCCGCACCACGTGTTGTATCCGTCTTTTAATGCCATTATGAAGTCGTGAGCGTTTGCAGCCCGGGCAACCTCGACGACTTCCGTTTCACTCATCTCGCACAATATTCCGTAGACAATGTTCTCTCTAATTGTGCCGGCGAACAGAGTCGGTTCCTGACTGACTAATGCAATGTGCTTCCTTAAGGCCCAGAGGTGGTATGACCTCACATCTCGTCCGTCAATTTTTACCATGCCTCTGATCGGATCGTAGAATCTTTCGATCAAGCCAATGAGGCTCGACTTTCCGGATCCACTCTGTCCCACTAATGCGGTCGATTTCCCTGCTTCGATTTTGAATGAGAAGTCCTTTAAGATGGTGACATCCGGCCTTTCAGGGTATGCGAAATCTACACTGCAAAACTCTACATGGCCTGTTATTTGTCTCGGTTGGTAACTTTCTGTGTCTTCAGTTTCAATTCTGGTCTGCCGGTCCAATATTGTGAACATGGACCCGACCGTGTCTGAGCCCTTGGCAAGGTCTGTCGTCATGCTTCCGGCATCTGCAATCACTCGGCCTATGCTGATCAAGACCATGAACGTCTCGAAGAGCTCTTTCGATGTGATTTGCCCTTGTGAAATCAACTTGCCTCCGTACCAGAAATCTAAAGCCCATGCGCACTTTGTAAAGAATTGCGAGGCAGCTAGTCCAATACCAGCATACCACGACTGCCGGATGCTCTCTCGTTCCGGGGCTTCCTGGGCTTCCTGGGCTTTCTCGAGCATATTGAGGATGCGCTCTTGGGAAGAAAAGGAAATGATAGTTCGGCTGGTAGAGACTGCATCCCCCGCAAGGTTGCTGCTATCGTCTTGGGCCTTCATGGCCTTCTCTGACATTGTCTTCAGTAACAGACCCGACATATTTTTGTGCGACCCAAACGTGGAGAAAAAATTGAGATTTAGTTCGTGACGGGGAGGGTTGGGCCGATAGGCCCAACCCGGAGCAAGCGAACAAATCTCTATAGCGGTCCGCCCAAGCTGGAGCAAACGAACAAATGTCTCGGGGGTTCGGGGACGTAACCCCCGAGAAATTTTTTTTTGGGGAGCCCTATATAATACCGCGGCTAGGGTTTTTTCATTAATTAAGAGAGATTTTCGTTTTGTGATACGAGAGGTTTTGTTAAGTCATTTTTCGACTTCTGAAAACTGTACTCTCTTTGATTATAGTGGAATCTTGTTTTGCCTCGTCCGTGGACATAGATCACCTTGTGATCGAACCACGTAAATCCTTGTATTCTGTATTTGTTTTTCTGCGTTTGTCTCCAACAGCATCCTTATCGAGTCTAGAGCAAACCGAACCTCTGGAGTTCTGATCTTGATCGAACCATCCAACTTTGAAAGTCAGGATTTTAGAGAGTATCTTCTCTCGGATCCTCTTAGTCAAGCACTCCCCCATGAAAGCGAAGTTGTTATGTTGGCTCACATTGACTGAGAGCGAGAACACGGCCAAACCCAGAAAGCAGAATGCATAAATCCTTATCTTTGCTTTAATCTCCTCGTGGTCTTGTAAAAAAATAAACCCAGACCATTGAGCCCATGGCGTCGGGCGGCGGAGGACGGTGGTCGGCGGCAAGAGGTAGCGGGCGGTGGCCAGCGGCCGGCCGCTTCCGAGTGGCCGACAGGTGGCGGCGAAGGATGGCGGGAGGCGGCGGTGGGCGGGTTGCGGCCGGCGTTGGGCGGCGATGAACGGCAGAGGATGGCGGTGGGAGGAGGCGGTCGACGAAGGACATCGGCGGGAGGCGGCCGGCGGTGGGGGGAGGCGGCCGGCGGTAAGGGGGTGGCCGGCTAGTAGTGACGACAAGCGATAAGAAGAGTTTTTATTTCACATTTCTATTCTAGAAATAGAAAATAAGAAATGAGAAAAGTAGATTTTTTTTACTTCTGATTTCTGTTACAAACTTATTTCTGAAATAGAAATTTGTTCCAAAAATAGAAAAATGAAATTGGATTACCAAACGGATTTCTGTTCCAAACCTGTTTATGGAAACAGAAAAATAGAAAATAGAAAAACAGAAATGATTTCATGTGTGCCCTTATTATACTCTTCCTTGATCTTTCTTGCAATTATTATTAGAGTCCTCCCATGTATCATGGCCGGGATTATGAGGAACAGGGCAATGGGGAACCCAACTATTGCTAGTCTCCACAACATCACGAATGCCGCTATGTAGCTCCCCACGAACAGCGACACGTTGACAAGAAAATTAGGGACCTATAATTTTAGTTTAGAAACATTTAGCTATCATAATTAAAACATGACATAACAGAGAGAGATTCAGATTCTGAATTAGGGACCTTCTCGCTTAGGACATCCTGAATCATGAGACTACCGCTGGATACACTGGTGACGACCTCGGACGTGCTCATCACATGCATGTCGAAGTAGGTCACGTCTTGCCTGAGCACAGCTCTCAAGTACCTGGCTCTGATTCTTTGGGTTTGCCTCTTGCCAGTCCTGGTCCAGCAATACCCTTCTGAATACAATCACCATCACCATCATGGTCAGAAAAAGTTGGGCAAAATCTCAACTTTTCTTTTATTTCCAACCCTTGCCAAGATAAAATAAAAAACCCAAAAAGGGAACGCGAGTAACAGTGTGACCCACCTAGCAAACAAGCAAATATCAATCCACAGGCCATGTACAAGAGAACCAGTGCATTCTGCAGAAACACAATCCAGAGTGAGGGAAACAGATCGATATGGCCTTGTTACGAACTCAAGAGAGAGATGGCCGTGTGTACCTTGTTGATCTTGTGACGAAACGTTTCGGAATCCAGTGAAGAAGCGGAGCCAATGTCGTTCATGAGCCGACTAGTGACATAGAGCAAGAGGGGCGTAGAGAAGCCATCAGCGACGGTACCAAAGAAGCCAAGACCCATCAAGCACTTGTCCACTCCATCTGCGTGCATGAATGTGGAGCCTATTGACGACCACCCTTTCTTCTTCTCCTCCTCCTCCGCCACATTGCTCTGTCTCTCATTTCCCATTTTTGTTCTCCCAAGTTTCTTCCAGGAACAACCAACGTAAGGATTCTCAACTCGTCTTTGATTAATTGATTGACTTTAAATGTTTCTTTGCATGTTGCTTCCTCCTAGAAAGAGTGAAAGATGAGACCAGAACCGATGCTAAAGGGCTTGGTGGCGTCTCTTCTTGGCCAAGAGCAACCATTATTTATAGTCTGCTATTAATGTATGTCCGGACAGATTCATAAGTCAGCTGATCTTATGGCCCTTGCCAGTGGTTGGAATGGTCGCCAAATATGAGGCTTGAAACAAAAGAAACAGATAGGACTATCACAATCGAAAGGTCCAAGCATGCCGTCATTCATTAGTATCACGAACTTGAATCTACCCTCCAGACAGGAGTCCACTCTCCCCATTCCTACAAGTACAAGTTGACCCCACTCCAAACCCTACCGCGAAATGGGATCACATTATCTTGAAGAAAAAAAATTGAATAAACATTGAATTGATGAATAACCGGACAGAATTGGTAACAAAACTGAAAATTCTGAATAAACATGGATTTTACTTTTGTGGAATCTAGAGTAGATCCAACTATTTATAATTATAAAATCAACTTGATTCGGTAAAATGCATTCCGATAGATAACGAATTTAACTGACAATGAAGACAAACAGGAGGACTAATCCTGCTACAGACGCCAAACGATGAGTTACATTAAGAGAACAAGAAGATGCAAAGTATCAAGCTCTATACTTCAGATGATTACAGCAAGTTCTTGCATTAAAAAAGAAAATATAGTCAACATTGTGGACTAATATTCAAGTTGTCACACAGCATTGTTAGGAGCCATTTGCAAGGTGGCTAGAGAGTAGTAAGCTCCTCCAGGACCCTTGGCCAACAAAGAAGAGTGAGTCCCTTTCTCCACCAATTTGCCCTTCTCCAACACTGCAATCACATCGCAGTTGTGGATGGTACTCAACCTGTGAGCCACCACCACACTGGTCCTGCCCAGCATCAAGCCCTCCAATGCATCTTGCACCATCTTCTCCGATTGCCCGTCGAGCGCGCTTGTCGCCTCGTCCAGCAGCAACACGCTCGGGTTCTTCAGTATGGCCCGGGCTATGGCGATGCGCTGCTTCTGGCCGCCGGAGAGCTGCACGCCCCTGTCGCCGCACCAGGTGCCGTACCCGTCCTTTAGTCCCGAGATGAAGCCGTGGGCGTTTGCCACTCTGGCAGCTTCGACAATCTCTGTCTCATCGACTGCTCGGGAAACTCCATAGATGATGTTCTCCTTTACAGTGGTCGCGAATAGAGCCGGCTCTTGGCTGACCAGGGCGATATGCTGTCTCAGAGATCGGAGATGGTATGATCTTATTTCTCGGCCGTCGATCTTGATCGTCCCTCGGAGTGGATCGTAGAATCTCTCGATCAGGCCAATGATGGTCGATTTCCCGGACCCGCTTTGGCCTACCAAGGCCGTCGACTTCCCTGCCTCAATATCGATGGAGAAGCCCCTTAGGATCATCGCATCGGGCCTAGCTGGATAAGCAAAATCCACATCACGAACTTCGACATGTCCTGATATCTTTTCAGGTTTGAGGCCTCGCGGGTCGGCAGGTTTGATGTTCGTTTCACGGTCCAAGATGGTGAAGACAGACTTCATCGCGTCCGAGCCACTGGCAATGTCGGTGGTCATGCTTCCGGCATCAGCAATGACCTTCCCGGTGGAGATCAAAATCAGGAACGTCTCGAAAACCTCTTTGTATGTGACGTAGCCCTGCGAAACCAACTTCCCGCCGTACCAGAAGTCAAAAGCCCATGTGCATTTGGTAAGGCTCTGGGATGCACCAAGCCCGACCCCAGCAAACCACGACTGCCTCTCGTTCTCTCTCCGCGGGCCTTCTTGGGCCTTCCTCAGCATCTCCAGGATTCTTTCTTGGGAAGAGAAGGCAGTGATGATTCTGTGATTGGACACTGCTTCGGCAGCTAACTTGCTGCACTCATTTTGCGCTTCAATGGCCTTCTGTGACATGCCCTTGAGCAGGGACTTTCTTCCATAAAAGCAGACAATGATGAGTGGCTCGATGGCTATCATGACAATGGCAAGCCTCCATGCAATCACTAGTCCCATTATGCAGGCTATGGTTACTGCTGAGATGGCTTGTACAAGGAGAGACATTTGATCACCTACTAAGGATCTCACCTGCAAAACATATCGAGAACCAGTCTCGTTACAGCAATCATGTTGTTTGATGACAGACAGAGCATATTTAAATGGTAACAATTCTCATTCAGCTTTCCACGAAATGAAAAAAGCTCAAATTATGCGACATACCACATTGGCGTCTTTGGCAAGTCTAGAGCAAATGGCACCACTCGAGTTCTCGTCTTGATCGAACCAACCAACCTCGAAAGTGAGAATCTTTGCTAACATCATCTCGCGGATCCTCTTAGTCAAATACTCCCCGACATAGGCGAAATTGTAGTGTTGAGACATGTTGATCATCAATGAGAACACGAAGAACCCCGTGAAGCACAATGTATATGTCCTTGTCTTCTCCTTAATCTCATCATGGTCTGTTAGGAAAAAGACCGATATCATCGACCCCATCACGAACGCGAACACTGGTTGAATGGCACCACCCAAGACAGCGCTAACACATGCCATGGCTACTTGTTTCCATTCTGGGTGACTGAAAGCTAATAATCTTCGAAGCAACAAAGTTTGAAATGTCTGGCCTTCTCTTGTGTTCCCTCTCTCTGTTGATATTTGAGTTGATTCCGCATCATCAGCTGAGCCGAAGACGGAGGCAGTAGGATACCTTGTAGATTCGATCTTAGGAGAGGACGGTGACCTTGTGGATGTGACCTGAGCTTCGTCTTGAGTTTTCTTGCTTTCCATTTGTTGAAGATGCACGAGGGAAGAGTATATGCCTTCTTTGCATTGGATCAATTCTTGATGTAAGCCGGTTTCCATCACCTGGCCATTTTGGATGACGGCAATGATGTCGGCATTTTGGATGGTGGATAGCCGATGAGCAACGATGACAGTTGTTCGCCCAACAGCAACTTTTTCAAGGGCTTCCTGAACGATCCTCTCCGATTCCAAGTCCAAAGCGCTAGTTGCCTCATCAAGGAGGAGAATTCGAGGGGATTTGATTATAGCTCTTGCAATGGCGATTCTCTGCTTTTGTCCTCCAGACATTTGAATGCCTCTTTCACCAACCTACCAACATACATTTTACGCATATGATCTCAACTCAAATATCACCATAATAAAACATTGGTGTAATTAAATACGTCCAAACAAACTTAGAAAAAACCGACGGAAAACCCAAATAAAAATGCACCTGTGTTTCATATCCCTGAGGCATTTGAGAGATGAAATTATGAGCATTGGAAGCTTTGGCTGCTTCAACTACCTCTTCCATGGTGGCATCTTCCTTACCAAAGAGGATGTTCTCCTTTATGGTGGTGGCAAATAATGTTGGCTCTTGGCTTACCAAGCCCATCTGTGACCTTAGCCACTTCAGCTGCAACTTATCAATGGGAACTCCATCCAGAAGGATTTCTCCGTTGAAAGGATCATAAAACCTTTGCAACAAGGAGATGACCGTAGATTTCCCTGACCCACTGCCACCCACGAGAGCAACTGACTTTCCTGCCGGTACCGTCAAGCAAAAGTCTTCGAAGATGATGTTGTTGGGCCGCGACGGGTACGCGAACACCACATGCTTGAATTCAATTTCACCGGAAACTTTCTCCACGATCTTCCCTTCCAAGTTGTCGGTATCAATCTTGGGGACTCGATTGATCACCTCCGTGATACGTTCCACTACGGAGATTGCCTCGGTAAAGTACTTCAAATTTGATAAACCGGTGCCGAACGCTCTGTTCGTTAAAGGGCACTAGTAAGTTATTCATGACTAGATAGGCTCCACACACCGACGATGCCATACTTACTATAACGCGAACATAGAAAACGAAGGACTGTTTCTCATCAATTTAAAACGTTTTTGGAAAAACAGAAAGTGAAGATACTCATTACTCACAATCCTCCGACGGCTAAGCCGGCTCCGACGGCATAAACGGTACCGCCTTTGGCGCCGTGGTACATGACCATTCTGCTACCATAGTAAGCCATGAAGGCCCAAATTCCAAATACAACCGCATTGCTCCCAATGGCCAGGCCTTTGGCCAAGCCCTGCTTCAACCCCAATTTGACCGACCCTTCAAGTGCTCCAGAGAAATCACTCATGGTCTTGCTCTCACCCACGAAGGCATAAACTGTTCTGATGGAGGATATGGCTTGTTCTGCAATTGTGCCCGCCTTGTTGTACTCTTCCCCAACTCTTCTTGCTAGTCCCATCAGAGTCCTCCCATAGATTAAGCCAGGGACTATGAAGAGCACCACAAAGGGAAAGCCCACAAGGGCTAGTCTCCACTGGAGCAGGAATGCTGCTATGTAGCTCCCAATGAATGTGGATATGTTCATCACAAAGTTTGGCACCTGAAAATATTCGCACAAAAGAATTGCTATAGTAATGTCGTCGTTATAAATAAATGAAATTTCATCACTTGATCACCCCTTTTCTTTTCTTTTCCTAGTGTCAAATTTTGGTCAATTTTTACTACAATACATTTGATGTCGCGTACATGATGTTATGCATTTCACACCTCTTATATATAAGTCTATGCATTCGCCACTAGAGCAGCTTCTCTTGTCTCAAAACACCGGATTACACACTTGTTTTAACTTCACTTTTACGGCGTGGCTGAACATTAGGTCACTTTTTACCTTAACGCTAAGAGCATCTTGAATCACGAGCGTATCATTGGCGACGCTCGTGATGACCTCGGACGTGCTCGTGACGTTCAAGTCAAAATAGCCCACGTCTTGCCTCAACACGGCTCTCAGGTACGTGGATCTCATCCTCGAGGCTTGCCTCTCTCCCGTCCTCGTCCAGCAATATCCCTCTGATACAAAGACATTGAGCATAAAATCTTATCGAGATGAGATGAGATCAGATGAGATGATGTGGCACATATTTACCACATTGAATGGTCAGCATTCGAAAATAAGCACTTCCTGACGTAGGTTGCGACGGGAAATCAATAAGTGCACTACTAGAGAGAGTGGTTGCTTTTGTTTCGAGAACACATCGCAATCGTCAAGATTGCCACAAATGAAAAGCTTACCTAGAAAAGCAGCGACAAATAGTCCACAAGCCACCCAGACCAGGGATAATGCATTCTGCCCACCCACGAACATTGCCAATAGGAAGATCCACGTTATTTTGCGATAATGACATTATGACTAAGTGAATCCAGAAGGATAGTCTCTACGTTCATCGTACCGAGACCAAAAACATTACCTTGTTGATGACATGAGCGAATTGGCCTTCGTCCAGGGACGGCGCGTCGCCGATGTTGTTCATGAGGCGGCTAGACAGGAACAGCACAAACGGCGTGGAGACGCCGTCGCCGACCGCCCCAAGAAACCCCAGCGCCATCAACCACTTATCCGCGACGTCGGCATGCTTGAAGATGGAGCTTACAGACGCAGCAATCCTCATCTTCTTCGCGTTGGTCACTCCAGTCGCGTCTCCCTCGTACCCCATGCTTGTTAACTAACGAGGATGAGTGTGTATGTTGCATGTATATTTATAGAGGAAGAAGAGAAAGCCCAGCACTTTCGGAGAAGTCGAGGGTCGAAAGACGACATGGGTGGCCTTCCTTCTTTAACGTTAAAGCTTGTGCAAAAAGTCAGCCTACGAGTACAATTTGTTACACTATGGGTCGGTGCGTCACTAGTGACGCCCAGGGACAAAATACCCTATCCACCATTGAGTGTTTCAACCAATAACAATTTCTGTGGTGACCTGATGCGCGACTGGATTTCGATAAAGAGATGTTACATTGTCAACTCAAGATATTTAAGTTAATAGATGAAGAAAGACAATATCATATAACATCAATATAAATCCCATAAATAACTAATGGGAGATACTTTGATACCCATTTGAATTGATAACGACACTTGAAATTGATGGATGGGGGCAAATAAATTCGAGAACGCAACTCGACTCTAATTGGGAAATTACCAAAAAAGTTTTAAATATATTACAATTGTGACAATTCATTCCTAAAATATTTGGCATTTGTGTCAATTTACTCCATCTGGTCAATTTTGGTCGGAAATCGCTGACATGGACCCCGGCCGTCCTACGTAGTGTGGTTGGCGTTGACATGAACATTTTTAAATAATATTTTAATAGTTTTTCTCTTTCGTTTTCCTTTTTTTTCTCTTTCTTTTTTTTTTCTTCCTTTCTTCTTCTAGACGGTCGCCAGACATCGGCGACTAGCCAGAGGCGAGGGCTGGCGAGGTTGACCTTATTGGTCCTCGCCTCTAGCCGATTGCCAAGGCTAGAGGGAAAGGAAGAAAAACAAGAGAGAGAACATAAAAAAGGAAAAAAAAAGAATAAACAAATAATTTGAAAAATTATTAAAACATTAGTTTAAAATGTTAGCGCCGGCCACGCCACGTAGGACGGCCGGCATCAATGTTAGCGATTTTTGGCCAAAATTGACTGGTTGGATTGAATTGGCACAAATGCAAAATGTTTAGGATTTGATTAGCAAAACAAAAAAAAAGATTTAAAACTGAATTGACACAATTGCAATAGTTTAGGATTTTTTTGGTAATTCTCCCGATTCTAATACCATATTAGATTGTCCAACCAAAAAACTTAAGTCAATATATGAAGGGAGACAAGATTAATATGAGGCACGTATAAACTCCATAAATGAGGGATGTGAGATGTCTTTATAGACGACATACGATGAAGGCAAGGATTGAGGATTTTAGTCGGCTTTATTCGGTTTTTTCTTCTTCTTTTTTTCAGGTTTTGATGTAAATATTATCTTCGTAATATTCCAGAAAGCATGAGATTTTGGGTATCCTCAAGCTCGATTGATTCAATTACATCGATTCAATTGATTTGATTTCATGTTTGAAAGTAAGGGGAGAGTTACCAAAAATGTCCTAAACCTACTGCAATTGTGCAAATTCAGTCATAAATTTTTTTTTATGTCAATTGAGTCTTAAACCTTTTGCATTTGTGACAATTCAATCAATCCGGTCAATTTTGGCCGAAAATCGCTGACATTGATGCCAGCCGTCCTACGTGACACGGTCGGCGCTGAAGTGGATAATTTTTAATTATATTTTTATATATTTTTTTAAAAAAAATTATATTTTTATATTTTTTTTCTCTTCTTTTTTTTTTTCCTTTCCCTGCCAGTGGAGGACCATGTGATAGTTACTACAACTTGACTATGCATATGGAAAAAAAAAAAAAAAGGAAATATACATAGCAGCAAAACATGGGGAGACATAAAAAAACTGAAAATCCCGTGGGATAAATTCGAATCGTCACGCTAAGCAAAATTCCAACCTGGCACGTGTTCACCAGGGGGCGTCACTAGTGACGCTTAAGGACAAAATTCCACGTTCATAATCGTTCGGTGCTCACAAAACGGCGCTCCACATTTGTACTGGTCCATCATAATTTCTGCCATAACCCCGATCTGCGTCTTGGATTTTGATCAAAGATGTTAGATTGTTCAGTTAAAAAATTTGAGTAAATATATGAAAGGAGGGGCAAAATAATATAAGGTTCATATAAACCCCATAAATTAGCGATGTGGAGTAGTTTAATATCTCGTATCTCATGCGAACCGGATCGAGAACCGCGCGTTGAATTGACGAACGAGGGAGCTTCGCACGCGAGACAAATTTTAGGGCGAAACTTAACTCCGATATCATGTTAGATTGTCAAATTTGAAACCTTAAATTAATAGATGGATGTTCCGTGTGAGGTGCTTAAGGACGACATAGGGTGGGTCAAGAATCGAGGATCTTAGTCGGGTTACTCAGTCTTTTTTGTGAGGTCTTGATGCAGATATTGTTTTCATAATATTTTCCCAGAAGTTGTGAATAGTTTCTGTCTTTCCCTCACCATTTTATACCCCAAAAAATTGGGACTAATTTCAAAAAAATGCATCAACTTTATCTCAAGTGACAATTTTAATCTGAACTTTTTTTTGTCTTATAAAAAATCACCAACTTTTACTTAAATCCTAAAATTTTCATTCAAGGTAAAGTTTGTTCTTTTCTTTTGGAATTAACCCCAAAAAAATTTACAAGAAAACATAAATATTAAAATGAAGAGAGGTCAAACTGCAGGCCCAGCAGTTTGGAATGTACATGGAGTTTGAGCCTCTCCCCACTGAGCAAAGCAAATCAACAATCCATTTGAGATACTGAAACTCTAATTAAAAAAGAGGGTCCATCATTCTTAATGACACGAGATTAGGAGAGATTCCATTGCTACCACTTAATTATCCATATTGAAAAAAAAATTAAAATATATAATGGCAGAAAATCGTGAGGAAAAAACAAAAAACAAAAATTTGTGTTGACCCTGCGTTGAATCTTCTTCACAAGACCAACCCCAAATATCTCACCGCCGTCTCGCGTCGGAAACCAGGTGCTGCCGGAACGTCGCAATGAATGTTTCGACTCTCTCGTTCAACTCCTCGTCCGACAGCCCCTCGTAGGCTCCTGCTTGATCATCCTCTTGTGCAGCATCTTGCTCCTCAGTCCCGCTCCGGCCGTCTTCTTCTTGGTAAACCAGTTCGCCGCGTGCTGTTTCGACCGCCGCCGCCGCCGCCGTCGCCGCCGCCACCGGCGGAGACCCGGAGCACCGCCGCGATCTCCTCCTCCTCTGCTTCTTGGACGTTCGTTCCTCGTCGTCCTTGGATTCTGATTCTTGATTCTTTCGGTGGCCCGGCGGCGAGCGCATGGAAGTGAAGAGAACGGCCAGGAGGATGACGTTGAGGAGGACGAAGACCCACCACACGTGCCAGCATTGCTTCCCCAAGAACGCTAGGACGGCGCGCTTCAGGCACAGCGCGGCGAGGGCAGTTCCGGCCGTGAAGAGCAGCGTCGGGACGGGGTCGTCTTCGAGCTCGCCGCCGCATCTCGTCGAACTCGCGGCGGAGAACATATACAGTCCCTTCCTTGTTTCTTCCATGGATATTGCAGAGTGCGAAGCGAAGATATGAACTTTGAGTTTGAGTTTGAGTTTTTGAGGTCGTGCAGAAGACGACGGGGTGGGTGTTGTTATATACGAGAGTGCGAAAGGTGCGTGCGCTTCGATCTTTTGATTGTGTCGAGGTGAGTGAGGGACCAGCGTGGGATTAACCTTTGGAGGCGTGGCTGATGATGCTGCCGCTACAGAAGGAGACAGCCCAACATGTTGCTACTTTTACAGGCACAGGTTTTCAAAAGGAGGGAAAAACAAAGAGTAGAAATTCCCACTGCCGTTGATAATTTGCCAAAGAAAAGGATTGGATTCGAGTGCACCGCATCGCGTTATTCAAGCCGTAGCGTTTACCATTTCGATTGACCTTTGGACTACGTCCGTTATCTTGTGGATGAAGTCTTATTCGATACACATGGATAGAGCTGATTAGTGCTCGTTTAAAGAGATTACTCAAATCAAAAGATTCGGATGTTCTCGCTTTAATAAAATGAAATTTATGTAGATATTGTTAGTGGTCTGCCCTAAGAATCAATCAAGGTTGATACTCTAATATTAGTTGTGGATTAGGTTGTGTCGGAAAACCGATCTTCACTATACTTAGGTAGTCATAATGTCTTGCTAGAGACCGCTTATGACTTGTGAGCCAAAAGAGTTTTGGGCACACTGCTAATGTTTAGTGAACCTACAGGGTCGCACACAATAGAGAACGGACTTAATATTGTCTGTGCGCCTTGATCTACTTAAGAAGTAGATTTTAATTTATTCTCCTATTTAAATTATCTATGCGGTCGTGTGCGTTATGAGATAACGATTAAACGTACGATTGAAGGTGGACGGTTTGGCGGGCCCAAATAGCCCGGCCCACTTCTTTTAATTCCGCTAGATAATGAGACTGTATAAATAGATAGAGAATCGTTCTCTGTCTAGGGTTTTTTCGATAGAGTATCGAAAATCAAAAGGCGTTCAAGAAAAAGGAACTTAAAGATCTTTCGCTAGCACGTGGATCGTTGGAGAATTCCGTTCGTGTGTGTGGATACCGGTAGAGGCGCAACACTTGGGGCGCTCATCTAGACACAATCAGTTGCTGATTTATCTTCGATCTGCAAAAGGTACATATCGAAATTCCTTTTCGATTTTAATATACACATGAATCCTGTCTAGGGTTCTACATTCCACTGCGTTGTTTTTCGTTGATGAACCCTTCAGATATTTATGCTAAAGTTTATGCATGTCATATATGATATGAGGCTGTGTGTAATTTAGTGTCTTGAGACACCTTTCGTGTACATATAGTAAGGAAAGTTCTGAAAATTATAAACTATAGGATACACTTGTCACGAGAAAAGTTACTGACTGTGATATTCGAAACTAATGTCTCGTAGCATATATCAAAACATTACAAACAGAAGTATAAGAAAAGAACCACATAGCTAGAGTCATATTATATTAATTGTTGATTAAAGTTTATCGCCTTGGTAAGGGCGTTTTATGTTATCATCTTTTTGTGTGCTTCGATATGGATTACATTGATCTCTGTGTTGTATATAAATTGTTTCCATCGATCATCCAACATCCAAGTTGCACTCAGATCCTCCCCCCGTGCGTGTGGTGTATTGTATTGCCTCAGGATTATTTTTTTCCCTTTCAACGATTTGGTTAGGTGCAGCAATTGACCTAAGTGCCAAAAATCCTTAAAAAATCAGATCGATGAGGTTAGATGCAACTCGTTCATGTTATGTTATATTCATATGTGGAACTCCTGTCGGGAAGTATCTGCAGCGAGGAAAGCGTCCATGTGCTAGGAATCGGGCGTACCATTATCAATCCAATGTCTCGACGATGAGCGAACCCCTAGTGCACGCTTGGCCTGATAGGTCCCATGCCGCGCCTTGTGACAATTAGTCAAATATGCGATGATCAGGTTTTGCTTATTATCTATATGGTGTTGATGCGGGGAGCGTCGAATTTGGGCGGGTGTCGCATTGTGTCCTTTGGATGCCGCGGTCTAGATATGTCCAGGTCCCATGGACCTGCTCGGAAAAGACATTGACGAGCATGCTTGGTTAGGGAAGTGGAAGTCATGAACAATGCTCTCGTCCTCGTGCCTTCTACCGAAAGCGAAAGTTAAATGATGACCTTTCCGAGCAGAATGTTTGCCGCATTGTGAAAAGGCAATGTGGTCAATTTGGCACCCCTGTCCGATACACCAAACTTGGAAGAAACCCAAAAGAAATGGTCAACAGGATAAAGGCTCGACATATCATCCCTGAGCTGTCATGTCTGCTCCAAAAGAAATGGCAACAGGATGATCTATATGCAACTAACGCAATCAAAACTTGAATGTGACAAATCCCGCTTGCTTGTTCACAGTTCCTATGAATCCTAGATAACGAAAGAATCGGTAACCTTGCCTTCCCTTGATCTTAACCAAACTTTTCTTCAAGAAGAAACCTGGCTAGCCCAAAAGGACACAATGAGAGAGAGAGAGAGAGAGAGAGAGAGAGAGAGAGAGAGAGAGAGAGAGAGAGAGAGAGAGGTAACGCAACATCATATAAATGTATGGTCTCTGGGATAAAAGCTAGAAGCTAAAATCATGGATTCTGACTTACGACCTCACGATTATCACCACATCCAGACTCCATATAGCATTTGACCCGATTGCCTATGAATATGATGGGCCTGTAAACTAGAGGCAAGAAAAGTAAACCCAGCAATTTTTTCTCCTCCGAGTGCTGTAGTTCGAGCAAAAATAAAGATAAAAACTCCTCAGTACTGTGATACAAAGATTATGTAAACGCTAAGTCCTATCTACTCTGAAGAATCAGCTCAAGGTACATGGTCTTGACTTTCCCTTCTCAGACTCACTTTGAAGCCGGCCAAGAATGCCATGACTCTTACCTGCAACACATGAAACTAATATTTATGTCCCAAATTCTTCCTACATGACCATAACCGTAAAACAATTTACACGTGAGATGGATGAAAAAGCAAATTACCATAAGCATCTGACACGCGCCCCTGATGAAGCATGGTGAAAATTAAGAGGAACAGTAATAGGATACCAGTCACCCGGTCATGGCATTCTGAACGCTCTAGACGTTGATAGCAAATGGCTTAACTACATATTTTCCTGCAACGAGTAGCACTGGATCACTTCCTCTTTTTTTGGGACCACTTAGGCCCATAAATTGCCAAATGGGTCCGGCCAAAGCGTCGATCAGTTATCTGCATATTCAGAATACCACCTCACAAACATAAGTTTCCACGAACTTCCATCTTTAACAGAGAGCGTAGTTATCGACTTCATAGCATGTCATGAATTGACGGCATCAAGCACAGGAATGAGAACTTCCACTACCGATATCACGGATTTTGGAACAGTGAAAGTAGCAAGCCAGGAATAAGAACTTTCATTTCCAATCTTTAGCAGTCTGAAAATTCACTGTATGTCACATTGAACGGTAACAGCAACCAGGACAGGAATGGGGGAGGGGAAGATGGAGAAGTTCAATATGCGGCCTTTATAAGCTACATTAATTTGTTCACTTTGAATAGCAGTCCAAGCATTCCTCAGATAACATGCACCACCTAGTTTGTTAATGTACATTGACATCATATGTTCTTTAGATTTCAAGATCTTGTTTAAGATGGAATCAGGGACATTCAATTAACTGACATTTAAGGAACATTTGTTCCATCTCGAAGTGCGGCAAAATCCATTCATTGTAAAGGTATTACAAGTAGCCGTTTACCAGATTAGATGAAAGCACAGTGAATGTTGGTGAAGTCCAGGGTTTGCAAAGTTCCAAAGTATCACAAACATATGAACACACGGTTCCAAATATCGCTAGAGGGTTAAAAGAGTTTATTGAGATAGAGTGCTCTCAAGGACCACTTCAATTTTTACTAAATAAATCCTGAAGAAGCATGACTCATGTCAAGCACAAACAAGGATGGAATGACCTAGTGAAGCAGTTTTATGCTGTATCAAACACACAATGTGCCCTGTATTCTGCTTTACAAGAGTGAAATACACCAAAAAGTAATCCCTCACCACAAAATAGACGAACTTATATATGAGTTCCATAAGTAAGTGTTTCATTAAATGTAAAGTGTGGTGAAATGGAAATAAGAATAAGAAACTAGCATTCTTCCTAGGATACTATTTGCTTAGAGGCAAAGTACAAAGAGTTGGTTTCCACAGGAAAGATCTTCATATTAGCAAAAACTGTCAGCACTTGGCAAAATTTTTCATGAAACTCCATATTCAACGTAGCATTGGAACATTCTTGGTGTTTACTTTGAGTACATGCAACCGAAAGAGAATAACAATGAAGATAGGACATACCTTTACGAGGCATCCACAAGAATCCAGCATGTTTGTTCTTAAAGGATATTCCACCACCTAAAAAGAAAATAAATAGATGAGATGAAATGAACACAGGTGAAGGTGCAAAGAATAGAGTTTATGCCCTAACTCAAGCAAAGTGGGAAATAAGCAACTTACAACAAAAGAATCTTCTCCCACTAATGGTGATTTAGAGATTTGGTCCATCAATACTCCATAGTCAACTTGCATATAAGGGGGTGTAACGCTTATGTAGTCAAATGAACCATCTTTACCTGGAGACAATCAGAATCTTTATATACTGGACATAAATGGACAACAAGTGTGATTCCACCCCTTGCAGGCAATTACTCAGAAAAATGCACCAGCCAGATAGTGAGAAAACTGCTTCAATGAAAAATGTCACAACTTTTCTATCCTTCATGAAGTCAACTTTTTTGTTGTATAATTATCAGAATGAGCTTTTCTTCAAGCTTATTAATACCTTTTCATGACAGTCTGAAAGAATTGTTAATACATGGTGCGGTTACAGTAAACTTTCCCTCAATTATGGAGGAGATATAAACAAAGATCCACCCAAATGGACACAACTAAAAGCCAAATCACACAGCCAAAAGCCACAGCCACCTCTAGCAGACATTAGCTGCTACAAGTTCCTACAGGCTATAAACATCCTTAATCTTGTTCTCATCAAAGGATCTATACATGGAACACCTATGTGCAAGCCAGAATTTATAATGGTAATAAAGTGATAAAGCAATGTTGAAAAGCATAAATGAGACCTGAGAGAGAGAGAGAGAGAGAGAGAGAGAGAGAGAGAGAGAGAGAGAGAGAGAGAGAGAATACCAACGAATTGCTCTGCTCGTTCTAAAAAATCTTCCACACGGACCATGTGAATAACCGAGGCATCAAGAAACCCAGTACATTCTAAATTTGGTCGTAAGACATCTGACACAACCCACGGATCCATCTCAACAAAGTGAACCTGAAATCTCAACAGATCCAATAACTAAGATGCTAAATAATAACAATAACAGCAACAACAACAACAATAATAGCAGTCTGTTGGTCACAACTACATTTCTGCAGATTCACAATCTGAATCAAACTTGATCTTCAACAGAATCAAACCCTACCATAGTTTTGCGAGTTTTATTACTAACGAAGCAACTACAGTACAATCTTCGTACCTGAGAGCAGCCTCGGCTGATGGCCTCAATTCCAACCGATCCTGTACCACTGTACAAATCCAACCAACGACCAGGCCTTAAAGATACAGGACTGCCACCGGCCGCCTAACGAAGTTTCAGAAGATGGGACAAGAGTTCATCACTAAACAATCAAGCTGGAGAGAGAAAGAGAGAGAAAGAGAGAGAGAGAGAGAGAGAGAGAGAGAGAGAGGTACCTGTAATATAGAAAAAGCTGCAGCTTTGACAACTTCCATCATAGGGCGCACATCCATTCCCTTTGGTGAGAGCAATTTCTTTCTTCGACCCGTCCCTCCAAGCACCTGTCATTTAACAATCATATCTTTACTTTTTATGTGGCACAACTAGATTTGACGCAGAGAAATTAGGCCTAAAATTTAATCTAAGATCCCTCAAGAAGCGGCCATGTCATCTCTGAACAGATTCGATCAAGCCCAATTTCATCCAAGTCTCCGAAAGGAGTAACATTAATGATATTTTGAAGGGAATGCTATGGCACGCTAGTAAGAAAGAACCCAAAAATTCTTCAGTCTCATTCATCAGATTATTCAGATGATGTGGCCTCTCAAAGAATAGATCAATTATGTCAATTTACTCCCTTCCCCCCAATAAATTAAGAAATCCAAAACCTAGCCAATGTAAGCAAATGGAGGAAACTTGACCTGAAGCAGCTTATGAGTGGTCCGCGGGGGTGCAGAATCCTCCTGCTCAGTTCTTTTGCCTCGTCCTGTGTCTTGCATATCTTTTCTCCTCCTTGCCTGAGCAACATACACAGAAAAACCAGGCAAAGCCAAACCGATTCAAATTCAGGTCTTGACATCGTCTCTCTCCAATGCAGGACGAAGGAATCACGCTGGGGTCTTCAGACATTTGCGAGAACAAAATAAACAGCACATAGCTACATATCACTATTCACTAATGGCACTGAATGACCATTTGACATTTCCACACACACCCACACACTCTCGCACAGACCTTGTTAGGAGAAGCATCGGACAAGAATTCATCAGGGTTGAGACCATAACGTTCGAGCAACTCTCTCTTGTCCTCACTCGCCAACCCACCGCCCGATTCTGATACACAACATCAGGAAACAGAAGGGACGAAACCCAAAGGTTGCCATGAGATTCTTGCGACGAAGACACTCTAGAGACAACACACACCCGAGATTACAGCATAAGAGCGTACTGCGAGCGAAAACGACCAACCCGGTTCGCGTGATCGCGGGTCTGCAAGTGGGGCCGACCCAGAGAAGCTTAGGCGACGACGAGCCCAGGTTGAAGCCGCTGGTGTTGGTGGCGTGAAGCGGGGAGCAGATGGGAGATGACGAGACCGCCATGTTCTTTCGCCTCGAGGGAAGAAGAAGAAGAAGCAGACCCTCGATGCTTGGCGCTCAGAAACGCATCGACCATTGACGAATCTGTCGATTGGTGTTCCTGGGGATGATGGGTCGATTCTTTCTTGAATGGTGTTGAATCGCGAATGGTTGCTTGGATGAACCACCGAGCGACTCGACCAGAAGCTGCTCGGTGAGCTCAGATGGAAAACTTTGTACCTCGCACACGGATAATCCGTTTTATATGTTCAAGAAAAAAAAAAAAGAATTCGGAGATAATTTTTATTATTGTCAATTTTTGTGTCGTATTAAATAATATTATTTTGTATTGAGGGAAGAAATTCATTTCGCGATTTGATCGCATGAAAAAAAGGAAGCTTATTTATACAATGGCACGTTGAGATTGCATTTGTTACGAATAAAGTAAATTTCCCATCGGAAAAGAGAGTTTAAAATTTGGAAAACTTACGTAAAAAGAACAATTTAACAATTGAAATTTTCAATCTTTAAAACGTGCACTCGACGTGTTTTGCAATAAATAATTATAAAAAGAAAAGAAAAAAGAAGAAAAAAAATAACAACGGGGTGACAGGTAATGGTAGGTGATGCAAGATGTGATGAGTTTCAAGATTACGAATTGATTTGTTACTTGGGATTTTAGAAATTTATATTATTACTTTAGAATTTGGTACTTTTTGTTAGTTGGTTAAATTGATTATATTCTAAATAATATTCTACGAGTGTTTTATTTTTCTCACTTTATGAATAGCTTCCGATTAAGTTTGACTTAGGCTTTCATGGTGATTTATGGCTAATTTCTAATTATATTAGTCTATTCTTCAATTTGTAAAATAACTTATCTCTTTGAGTTAGAATAATAAATTAATAATAACCCGTAACCAGTGGGGACCAATTTTGATTTTCACAAGCAAACGATCAATTTGCCAAATAGCTTGTGGCCCTACTAGTAGAGGGAATGGAGGGTAAGGTCGGAAAGTACTGGGTTCGGGTTCGATCTCCGTTGAGTATCGCATACATATTTACATAGAAAAGAAGAGCGAGAAAAAGAAGAAGAAGCAAACGATTAATTTCATGTCAAAGCAAACCAAAATGGACCGAGAGAGAACTGGTAAAGTACATGTAACTCCCCTGTGAATACACAAGATATGGTACTCACTCACTCTTATGCATATGCTGTATAAATTACTCTTAACTTCAATGGCTCTGTGTATATACATCTCTCTGAAACTTCTACACTCCTGTCCGCCAAAGCCCCGACGAGAAAGAAACTCTAGGATGAGCAGGCCCCGCAGCTCTTCCTACAGAATCCGTGCGCGTCCTTGGAGCCCACCATATAGAGAGGGTTCTTCCCGCACTCGCCGGCCTTCGCCCACGATGGGCAGTTCTCATTTTCGTCCCTGCATTCCCCGATGGTGACGGACCTCAACGGATTGTCAAAGGACCTGACGTGGATCCACTTGGTCGCAGACCATTTCTCCCCCTCGATGACAGGGCAGCTCCCGTGCAAGCTAGTATCATCTGGGGTTGCGTCGGGATGAAGACTGAAGAACAGCAGAGCGTCGCCCTTCCTCGGCTTCACTGCAGATACACAAATAATCGCAGTTACAGAAGTTTCTAATGAAATGAGGACAGGATCGGAACAGAAGAGTGATTTGGTTCGAATGGACAACAGAAGTAACAAGAATTATGAACGACACTGCACATGTGGACATTGAAGGAATTATATCGACTGTGCAAGCTGGCTCACCTGGACTCACAGACAAATTGATTCGTGTATATCTATCCATATACTTAAATACTGTTGCCCTACATAACTACACTGTGTCCACTGTCTCAAATTACTCGAGTAATCGATAACTACTGTCGTCTTTGCATGTTTTGAAGTCTATTGCTGGGGACTCGCACTAGCATTCGTGTAAGCACAAGCAGTATTACAGCCCGAGTCACGCTGTTGATATTGATTTAGTTGCTTGTAGCGCTAAAACAATTGCCTATAAAATGAACAACAAAACCAGAAAGTAGAAAAGACCAAAGTGCAAGATTTGTGAATCTGATCCACTCACCAGCATAACCTTTTTTTGCACAATCAGACCAGCCATCTTCGTTCGATTGAGACATTTTGCCCTGTGAAATGGAAAGGAAGAGAGAGACTAAGGTTCAGTAACACCACATGAGAACAGAAAACTGAATCATAGAGAAGAATTGCTTGCCTCTAAATTCGGGAACACTGTTTCCCCGCCTCTCTCAACATTAGACAAGTACATCAAGACAGTAGCCACTCGGTGGCCACCAAGCTCTTGATTAGCCTTGTCAATAAAATAATCATAATGAGGCTCATACTTCTCTCCATGCTCATATCTGAGTACTTGAATTGACTCTCCATTTTCTGGTCATATAGCTCGAATTAGCATACAGAAAGACGCTTCGTTGTAGACAGGAGGAAGTAGTCATTAATGAAATACAATAAGACCTTACCTTCAGGAAGAAAGGTCCACGCGGCAATCCGAGCCTCGATATTAGCAACAACTTCATCCTTCAATCAAGTGTAGAGTCAAGACAGTGCATAAGTCCTACACTACTCCTTCATAGTTCAATTAAGCTGAAAAACTCGCCCCAAATAAAGGCTTCTACGCAAATTCGAAAAACACGTCTACAGTTCTGGACTGGAACTCTAAGAAGCCGAATGTATCTCAAGTACGTTACTACTCAAAGACCCTATCATTCAAAAGCCACGTTCCCAACATTTAATACATAGACATGCAAAACCTTTTGAGCAGACTGTCAAAATCAAACTCAATTAGCAACTCAAACGTTCGACATGCCAGCCACTAGATGCGAGTAAGTAGCAGTTGATTAATAATGTGGTGATCCTAGATCTCTCAAGGGACGCTGCAAATAGCGCGGATAGATTGCGGTAGCAGCTATGGGTGAGGACCTCCTTTGTGGAAAGAAAAAAAACATCATGCAAATTCGAAAGAAGAATCCACTCACCTGAGCTTTCAGCAGAAACATTCCGGAGCTCGTCCGCACTTCACTCAGTATACTCTTTCCCGATTCGTTATCCGCCACCATGGACTTCTCCAACTTGTCCCTCGCCTGATCCACCAAAAAACCAATCTTGTCAATCCTATTTCTATCTAATCTCCATCAAGCCCACAATTACGAAACTAGAAGGAACAAAAAAACTAACCAGTTTGATGAGATGATCACACTCATCATCAGATAAGAACCCCTTATAGATAAAAGCCCTGCGACGACACAAATTTTGGGGACATCTTAACCAATGACCTTCCAACTCAGGAATTCACAACACATGCACTAGAAGACATCAACTAATTGAGTCAGACTATCTCTCATTAAACAATCCAGTGCATTGGCAATTCGAAGGACAATATCAGAAAACCAAAAACGCAGACACAGACAAGGAAGGCTTGAGCACCTGGGGTTCCAAGACAGTTGAGTGACTCGGGTCGGATCAAAAGCAACAGAAGATCCAACAGCCTTAGCTCCAAGACCCGATTCATGCCTGCCAAAATTTCCAGTAACAAAGCACCATCATTTCATAGTTCGGCAATGACACACATCTCAAGCAGCGAGCAAGAGTTTAGCAGATAGAGAGTTTCGTTACGTTTTCTCCCCAAGCAGCCATCTTGGGACCGGAACAGCAGAACCGCGCAAAGGCAAGAAGAGCAGAAAACAGAGCGAAAGAAGGAGAAAATCCTGGACACCCATTACAACGAAAAGCCTGCTTTCGCCGGGAGAAACTCGTTCTGGGATTCTTATTGCCGAGCCAAAAACTCAAAAGATACGACCTCTTCAAAGGGAAAAGAAAAATGGGAAGAAACAGTGGGCCTCTCGGTGTCCAAAGAATCAATTCAAACGCGAATTCGGAGGAGAGCGGTCAGCGAGGAGTTTCGGGCAATGGGTTTGTACTTGCGTCCCTTCTTTTCCCTTTTTCTTTACCACAAAAGATGAAGTCTGATGGGCGCCCACAGGATTCCTCTTGGGGTTTCGCCGGAGTTATTCCTGGGAAAAGACGGTGTCGAAATGTCAATGGTTTTGCGGTCGGTCGCTCCTGTGTTTCTCTCTTCTGTGGAAGCTTCGGTTTCGGCTCGGTCGCGAGTCGTCACCGTTTGCGTCCCGGCAGTTTGCAGGGGGACTCGAAGCTCGGGTCTTGAGGAGCCCTGCGTCACCGTCGCGACCGTTTTCGTCAGTTCCAACGATCGACTCCGATGCCCCCACGTACCTTTTTTCTTTGTCGGAAAATCTGAAGTGGCGAGACCTGTCCTCTGGAATAAAAGCACACCTTAAATTACAAAGAAAAATGCGCAAAGTCATTCAATGGGGAGTTTGGTAGATATTGAAAATGGTGAGATTTGGGGTTTTAATGCTAGATTCTGAAAAGAAGGGTAAGATATCCATGTGAATTCTTGAAATTGGGTGGTAAAAGTAAGTTATTCAATGTTGAAGAACTCATCTTGGGGAAGATTTTTGCTCTTATAATGACTCCCATCAAAATTACGAAATTGAAGAAAAATCTATGTACTAAAAAGATTTCGGTGATTCGCTTTTGGCACTAAAATTGTGCAGTAATTCTCATGAATCTATGCCAAAAATATATATTAAACCTCTATTGGTTTAATATTTAAATATCTTATCACTCTTCCTTACGCTTAATCTGGTCTTTAATTGGGGAAGTAAATAGACGCTTGGGAAGATTTGAACTTATGACATCTCGCTCAAATATGATGTGAAATTTTGTAGGATAACTGTTAACTGCTCTAAAATCTTAAGTTGTTAGAGAAACGTGTGGTTTAATTTTTAAATATCATCTCACTCCGCTTATGCTTTGTTTGGTCTTTTTTTTTTTTCTACTTAGTACTAAGCGTAGACATATTTGATTGAGCAGGTAAGTGGAGCTTGGAAAAATTTAAACTCGAGACCTACTGTGATACCATGTGAGATTTTGTGAGACTACTGCCAACTATTCTAAAAGTTGAGATTTTGTGTAATCACTCCTAGTTGTAAAAGCAACTTTTGCTTTTAGAATAAATGGTAGTGGTCTCACAAAATCTTACATTATATCAGAACAAGAGACCCGAGTTCAAATCTTTTTAGGCCTCATTTACCTATCCAATTAAATATGTACATGCTTATCACTCTCCCCCACGCTTAATCTGGTTTTAAGCGTGAACATATTTAATTATGGAGGTAAATGGGGCCTAGAAAGATTTGAACTCAAGACCTCTTGCTCTAATAGAATGCGAAATTTCATGGGACCACCGCAAATTGTCCTAAAAATATAAACTATTAATGGAATGTGGTTTAGAATTTAAATATTATATCGCTCTCCCTAATGCTTAGTCTGGTTTATACTAAGCATTAACATATCTAATTAGGGAGGTAAATGGGGCTTGAAAGATATGAACTCAGGATTTGCTATGATATCACGTGAGACTTTGTGGGACCACTTCCAACTGTTTTAAAATCAGCTTTTGCTTTTAAAATAGTTGACGATGATCCCACAAAATCTCAAGTTTTTAGAACCATTGATAGTGGTCTCGTAAAATCTTACATCATATTATAGTAGGAGATCCCGAGTTCAAATCTTTTAAGATTACCTATCCAATTAAATATGTCAATGTTTAGTATTAGACTAAAAAAAAAGATGCCATTGAGTGGAAGTGATAGAATATTTAAATATTAAATCACATATTCCTCTAACAATTTAAGTTTTTAGAGCTGTTGATAATGGTCCTGGTTAATACTAGGGTTGCTCCTAGTTTAATCTTTAAATATTCTATACTTCAAAAGGTATTTCAACGACACTTTTGATAAAATAGATATCACTGCCAAATTATGTTCACTGTTGAATTCCATATATATAGTTTTTATACTTTATAAATATTTTTTACTTTGACTAGATTGAAATTTCATCTTTTGAAATATCAAAGTAGATTACGCAATATGAATCACTGATCATCTTATTTTTCATAGCAGTTGGTTTTCTCCAAATGATTACAGTTAATTATGAACTTGGAAAGCCAGCTTCTATGAAATATTAGAGACACATGATAGGTAATAACAAATTCCTATTTCTTACTAAAAAAAGCACTAAATTTCAATCTTATTACAACATTGGACAAAATACAAAGCAGAAGAAATCTACATATTATTCCATTTTTCCAGTCTCAGTTGGCCTCAACGTCTTAGAAAAAAAAAAAGGAAACTACAATGTCACATCGAGATTGCGTTTGTCACGAAGAAACTAATTTTCATTGGAAAAGAGAGTTTGAATTTGATTAACTTTCGTAAAAAGAACAATTTTTCAATTAAGATTTTCAATCTTTTAACAAGTTCACAAAGACAAGATCCTAAAAAAAAAAAAGGAAAAAGATTAAGACTATGTTTGTTTCGTGAAAAAAGAATGATTTAGAAAACATTTTTCAAAAAATGATTGCTTGTATCACTTCAAATAAATAGTTAATGGAAAATATTTTCATTATCAAAAAAAATTTATATCTAAATATTTTCGTGGACAATGAACATTTTTTCATTTATTTATTTTTGTAAACAATATAAGCAATCAGATATAGAAAAATAATTTTCAAATCATTTATTTTTCGCGAAACAAACGGAACCTAAAAAAAAGGAAGAGGAAGAAGATGAATACGAGATCGCAGGTAACAGTAGGTGATAGAGGATGCAAAAAGGTTCAAGATTACTTTTTATTTAAGGGAAATGATACAAATAGTCCCTAAATTTTGACCCAATGTGTAATGCAGTTTATGAACTTTTAATTTATTCAATGTGATCCATGAACTTTTAATTTGTTCAATGTGGTCCCCAAACTTTTGATACACGTTCAATTTAGTCTATAAACTATATGAAAATGTTCAATGTAATACTTCCATTTATTCAAATTCAGGGATTATCATGAACATATACCAAAAGTCCATGGACCACATTGAACAAATTAAAAATTTAGGGATCAAACTGCACATTGTGTCAAAATTCAGAGACCATAGGTCTCATTATCCCTTTGAATATTATGCTGGATTTTAGAAATTTAGTTTATTATCTTAGTATTTGGGTAGCTTTTTCTAATTATTATTTGATTAAATTCTAGATAATATTATATGATTTTTAGGTAATTTATATCGGCCTATTCTCACTTTAAAAAATTATTTATTAGAGTTAGAGATTAATGCATATGCTGTATAAATTACTCTAACTTCAATGGCTGTGCATAAATACGTCCTTTGAAACTTCTACACTCAACTCCGTCGAAAGCGCCCACGAGAAAGAAACTCTAGGATGAGCAGGCCCCGCAGCTCTTCCTACAGGACCCGTATGCGTCCTTGGAGCCCACCATATAGAGAGGGTTCTTTTCGCAGTTGCCGACCTTCGCCCACAACGCGCAGTTCTCGTTTTCGTCCTTGCATTCCCCGACGGTGATCGACCTGAACGGCTTGTCAAAGGACTTGACGTGGATCCACTTGGTCGCAGACCACTTCTCACCCTCAATGACGGGGCAGCTCCCGTGCAAGCTAGTATCGTCTGGGGTTGCATCGGGATGGAGACTGAAGAATAACATAGCGTCACCCTTCTTCGGCTTCACTGCAGATACACAAATAATCACAGTTATGGAAGTTTCTAAGGAAATGAGGACAAAATCGAAACAGAAGAGTGGTCTGGTTCGAATTTGTTGGGGTGCGATTCATACTCCTCATCAACAGGAAGGCATGGGATCCAGCTTCTAGGTGCGTGGGCAGGGGTTGCCGCCAGAGGGCCTTTATAGTTTGGGTCCATAAGTAATCTATATATAATCTATTTCCTTTGTAATTGAGGGTTGTACGGAGAGGTGGGAGGTGCTAATTACATTGAAATCTTCCGTTGGATGTAATCCTAGTTTAAGAGTGAATCAGGATAAATCTCGTGTCTCGATTTTTCTTTCTCGCCTATTACTCTCTTTTTCGTTGTGTCAGTGCACCTAATCCTAACGAAATAGACAACAAAAGTAACATGAATTATGAATAACACTGCACATGTGGACATCTAAGGAATTCAATCGACTGTGCAAGCCGGCTCACTGGGACTCACAACCAAATTGATTTGTGTATATCTGTTTACTTAAATAGTGTGGCCCAGCTGCCCTAAGTAACTGCACTGTGTCTCAAATTACTCTGAGTAATCGTTAAGTACGTCGTCTTAGTACGTTTTGAAGTCTATTGTTGGGGGCTCGAACTAGCATTCGTGTAAGCACAAGCAGTATTACAGCCCGAGTCTTGCTGTTAACATTGAATTAGTTGCTTGCAACGCTAAAACAATTGCCTATAAAATGAACAACAAAACCAGAAAGTAGGAAAAAACTAAGTGCAAGACTTGTGAATCTGATCCACACACCAGAATAACCTTCTTTTGCACAATCAGACCAGCCATCTTCCTTTGATTGAGACATTTGGGCCTGCGAAATGGAAAGGAAGAGAAAGACTTTAGGTTCAGTAACACCACACGAGAAATAGAAAACTGAAGCATCTAGGAGAATTGCTTACCTCTGAATAGGGGAACACTGTTTCCCCGCCTCTCTCAACATTAGACAAGTACATCAAGACAGTAGCCACTCGGTGGCCACCATGTTCTCGATTGACCTTGTCCATAAAATAATCATAATGAGGCACATACTTCTCTCCATGCTGATATCTGAGTACTTGAATTGACTCTCCATTTTCTGGTTATATAGCTCATATTAGCATACAGAAAGACGCTACGTTGTACAACAGGAAGAAGTATCTCATCCATGAAATACGATAGGACCTTACCTACAGGAAGAAAGGTCCATGCAGCAATCCGAGCCTCGATGTTAGCAACAACTTCATCCTTCAATCAAGTGTAGAGTCAAGACAATACATAAGTCCTACACTACTCTTTCATAGTTTAATCGAGCTGAAAAACTCGCTCCAAACAAAGGCTTCTACCCAAATTCAAAATACACGTCTACATTTCTGGACGGGAACCCTAAGAAGCAGAATGTTTCTCAAGTACATTCCTACAATTCGATCAGCGGCAATAGATACTAATAACTGCTATCAACTCAAAGACCCTATCATGCAAAAGCCACGTTCCCAACATTTAATACGTACACATGCAAAACCTTTTGAGCAGACTGTCAAAATCAAAGTCAGTTAGCGACTCAAAACTTCAACATGCCACTAGATGCGAGTATCTAACAGTTGATTAATAATGTGGTGATCCTAGATCTCTCAAGGGACGCTGCGAGTAGCGCAGATAGATTTCTGTAGCAGCTATGGGTGAGGACCTCCTTTAGGGAAAGAAAGAAACATCATGCAAACTCGAAAGAAGAATCCACCCACCTGAGCTTTCTGCAGAAACATTCCGGAGCTCGTCCGCGCTTCACTCAATTTACTCTTTCCCGTTTCCTTGTCACCCACCATGGACTTCTCCAACTTGTCCCTCGCCTGATCCACCAAAAAACCAATCTTGTCAATCCTTTTTCTATCTAATCTCCATCAAGCCCACAAATACGAAGTTAGAAGGGACAAAAAACTAACCAGTTTGATGAGATGATCACACTCTTCATCAGATAAAAACCTCTTATAGATAAAAGCCCTGCGACGATACAAATTTTGGGGACATCTTAGCCAACGACCTTCCAACTCAGGAATTCACAACACATGCACCAGAAGACATTAACTAATTCAGACTATCTCTGATTAAACAATCCAGTGCATTATTGGCAATTTGAAGGACAATATGAGCAAAGCAAAAACACACAGACGGAGACAAGGAAGGCTTGGGCACCTGGGGTTCCAAGACAGTTGAGTAACTCGGGTCGGATCAAAAGCAACAGAAGATCCAACAGCCTTGGCTCCAAGACCCGATCCATGCCTGCCAAAATTTCCGGTAACAAATCACCATCATCTCTTAGTTCAACAATGACACACATCTAAGCAGTGATCAAGAGTTCAGTAGAGAGAATTTCGTTACGTTTTCTTCCCAAGCAGCCATCTTGGGACCGGAAGAGCAGAACCGCGCAAAGGCAAGAAGAGCAGAAAACAGAGAGAAAGCAGGAGCAAATCCCGAACACCCATTTACAATGAAATGCCTGCTTTCGCCAGGAGAAACTCGTGCTGGGATTTTTATTGCTGAGCAAAAAACTCAAAAATACGACCTTTCGAAGGGAAAAGAAAAACCAGACCAAAACAAAAACAAGGAAGGGAGAAGAAAAACGGAAGAAACAGTGGGTCTCCGGGTCTAGAGAATCAATTCAACGCGAATTTGGAGGAGACCGGTCACGGAGTTTCAGGCAATGGGTTTGTACTTGCGTCCCTTCTTTTCCCTTTTTCTTTGTCTGATGAGCGCCCACAGGATTCTTCTAGGGGTTTCGCCGGAGTTATTCCTGGGAAAAGACGGTGTCGAAATGTCAATGGTTTTGCGGTCGGTCGCTCCTGCGTTTCTCTCTTCTGCGGAAGCTTCGGTTTCGGCTCGGTCGCGAGTCGTCACCCAGTTTGCAGGGGGACCCGAAGCTCGGGTCTTGAGAAGCGCTGCGTCACCGTCACGACCGTTTTCGTCAGTTCCAACGATCGACTCCGATGCCCCCACGTACCTTTTTTCTTTGTCAAAAAATCTGAAGTGGCGAGACCTGTCCTCTGGAATAAAAGCACACCTTAAATTACTAGGAAAAATACGCGAAGTTATTCAATGGGGAGTTCGGTAGATATTGAAAATGGTGAGATTTGAGGTTTTAATGCTAGATTCTGAAAAGAAGGGTAAGATATCCATGTGAATTCTTGAAATTGGATGGTAAAAGTAAGTTATTCATTGTTGAAGAACTCGTCTTGGAGAAGATTTTTGCTCATATAATGACTATCCCATCAAAATTATGAAATTGAAGAAAAATCTATGTACTAAAAAGATTTCGGTGATTCGCGGTTGGCACTAAAATTGTGCAGTAATTCTCGGGAATCTATTCTTTGAAAGTCCATGCCAAAAATATATATATATTCAACCTCTATTGATTTAATATTTAAATATGTTATCACTCTTCCTTACAATTAATTTGGTTTTTAATTGGGGAAGTAAATAGGGACTTGGGAAGATTCGAACTTATGACCTCTCGCTCAAGTATGTTGTGAAATTTTGTAGGATAACTGCTAACTGTTCTAAAATCTTAAGTTGTTAGAGAAATGTGTGATTTAATTTTTAAATATCATCTCACTCCTCTCATGCTTTGTCTGGTCCTTTTTTTTTTTTACTTAGTACTAAGCGTAGACATATTTGATTGAGCAGGTAAGAGGAGCTTGAAAAGATTTAAACTAGGGACCTACTGTGATACCATGTGAGATTTTATGGGATCACTGCCAACTATTCTAAAAGTTTGAGATTTTGTATGATCACTGTTAACTGTAAAAGCAGCTTTTGCTTTTAGAATAAGTGGTAGTGGTTTCACAAAATCTTACATTATATCAAAACAGGGGACCCTGAGTGGACCTATCCAATTAAATATGTACATGCTTATCACTCTCCCTCACGTTTAATCTGGTCTTAAGCGTGAACAAATTTAATTGGGGAGGTAAATGAGGCCTAGAAAGATTTGAACTCAAGACCTTTTGCTCTAATAAAATGTGAAATTTCATGGGACCACCGCAAATTGTCCTAAAAATTTAAACTATTAAAGGAATGTGTGGTTTAGAATTTAAATATTCTATCGCTCTCCTTACGCTTAGTCTGGTTTATACTAAGCATTGACATATCTAATTAGGGAGGTAAATAGGGCCCGGAAAGATATGAACTCAGGATTTGCTATGATATCACGTGAGACTTTGTGAGACCACTTCCAACTGTTTTAAAATCAGCTTTTGCTTTTAAAATAGTTGATAATGATCCCATAAAATCTCAAGTTTTAGAACAATTGACATTGATTTCATAAAATCTTACATGATATTATAGTAGGAGATCCCGAGTTTAAATATTTTAAGGCCCTATTTACCTATCAAATTAAATATGTCCATGTTTAGTATTAAACAAAAAAAATATAAATAAAAAAGACACCAGTGAGTGGAAGTGATAGAATATGTAAATATTAAATCACACATTCCTTTAATAGTTTAAGTTTTTAGAGCCGTTGATAATGGTCTTGGTTAATACTAGGGTTGCTCCTAGTTTAATATTTAAATATTTTATACTTCAAAAGGTATTTCGTCGACACTTTTGACAAAATAGATATCACTACCAAAATATGTTCACTGTTGAATGGCATATATATAGTTTTTATTTTTTTATATATATTTTTTACTTTGACTAGATTGAAATTTCATCTTTTGCATTATCAAAGTGGATTACGCAATATGAATCACTGATCATCTTATTTTTCTTAGCATTTGTTTTTCTCCAAATGATTACTGTTAAGGGTGCATTTGTTTCAGGAAAAGTGTTTTCCGGAAATCTGTTTTCCGAACTTTCACCTGTTTGATTCACCGAAAATAATTAGTTAACCGAAAACACTTTTTGGTTAAGGAAAACATTCATGTATAAAATTTGGAAAGTGAATTCCCTAATATAAGAAGGTGAAAACACTTTTCGAAATTTCTTCCCTTGACTTTTTTAATATTTTATTATTTTCTTTCTTTTATTCTTTTTATTTTTATTTTTAAAAAATAAAAATATCAAAAAATTCGAAATTATTTTTTTGCTTGAGATAAAATCATGGGATTGAAATCATTTTCCAAATGAGATCCAAACACCAGAAAACGTTTTCGATCACGTATCACCAAACAAAGGAAAACTAACTATTTTCCTAAAAAATGATTTTTCAAAAAATATTTTCTAAAAACATTTCGTTTTTTGAGAAACAAACGCGCCCTAAATATGAATTTGGAAAGCCAGCTTCTATGAAATATTAGAGACACATGATCGGTAATAACAAATTCCTATTTCTTACTAAAGAAAGCACTAAATTTCAATCTTATTACAACATTGGACAAAATACAAAGCAGAAGAAATCTACATATTATTCCATTTTTCCAGTCTCAGTTGGCCTCAACGTCTTAGGACAAAAAAGTAAACTACAATGTCACATCGAGATTGCATTTGTCACGAAGACACTAATTTTCATTGGAAAAGAGAGTTTTAATTTGAAAAACTTTCGTAAAAAGAACAATTTTTCAATTAAGATTTTCAATCTTTTAACATGTTCACAAAGACAAGATCCAAAAAAAAAAAGAAAAAGATTAAGACTTCACTGGCTTCGCGGAAAAAGAATGATTTAGAAAACATTTTTTTCTAAAAATGATTGTTTGTATCACTTGAAATAAATAGTTAATGGAAAATATTTTCATCATCAACAAAAAAATTTATATCTAAATATTTTCGTGGACAATGGAAATAATATAAATATTTTTGTGGACAATGAAAATATTTTTCGTTTATTTTTGTAAGCAACAAAAGCGATCGGATTTAGAAAAATATTTTCCAAATAATTTATTTTTCATGAAACAAATGAAGCCTAAAAAAGAGAGGGTTAATACCACGAAAAATTCTAAACTGGTACACCTATGACAATTTTACCTTCAGTTTGTTTTCGTTAAATTTTACTGTCAAATTGCTTTGTTAAGTGACACGCGGTAGTTGACAGATGTTTTATGTTTTACTCTTCGTTTGTCACAGGTGTACTAGTTTGTGATTTTTTTTTTGTATTAATTCAATTTAACGGAAACTAACATAGGGTAAATTTGTCATAAATGTACGTGTTTTTTTTTTTTGATAATCGAGGTATCCGCGCGGCCGGCGAGCTAGGGCTCAAACCAGCGGTGATGCGCGACTAGTCCTCGAGGGGGGCTAGCGCAGCATCCCACCGCCACGACTCCCCACTTAAATCACCGATGGGCGAGTTTGAACCCAGGACCTCTCGTGAAAGGAACTGAGCGCAAACCAACGCAGCCACCGATGGGTGGGTATAAATGTACATGTTTAGGGTTTTTGGTGGTCAAAACATTAGTTTGGGGTAAATTTGTCACAAGTGTATCAGTTTGGGATTTTTCGTGGTGTTAACTTAAAAAAAGAAAGAGGAAGAAGATGAATACGAGATCGCAGGTAACAATAGCTGACAGAGGATGCGAAAAGGTTCAAGATTACTTTTTATTTAGGGAAAATGACACAAATAGTCCCTAAATTTTGGTCCAATGTGCAATGTGGTCCATGAACTTTTAATTTGTTAAATGTGATCTCCGAACTTTAGTCTAATGTTCAATGTAGTCTATGAACTTTTAATTTGTTTAGTATGGTCCCCAAACTTTTGGTACACGTTCCATTTAGTCCTTAAACTATCTGAAAATATTCAATGTAATCCTTCTATTTATTCAAGTTCATGGACTATCATGAATATGTACCAAAAGTCTATGCATCACATTGAACAAATTAAAGGTTCAAGGATCAAATTACACATTGGGTCAAAATTCAGGGATCATTTGTATGATTATCCCTTTGATTATTATGCTAGATTTTAGAAATTTAGTTTATTATCTTAGTATTTGGGTAGTTTTTTCTAATTATTATTTGATTAAATTCTAGATAATATTATATGATTTTTAGGTAATTTATATCGGCCTATTCTCATTTTAAAAAATTATTTAATGCATATGCTGTATAAATTACTCTAACTTCTTTTTTTTGGCTTAAAATTACTCTAACTTCAATGGCTGTGCATATATACGTCCTTTGAAACTTCTACACTCAACTCCGCGAAAACGCCCACGAGAAAGAAACTCTAGGATGAGCAGGCCCCGCAGCTCTTCCTACAGGATCCGTATGCGTCCTTGGAGCCCACCATACAGAGAGGGTTCTTTTCGCAGTTGCCGACCTTCGCCCACAACGCGCAGTTCTCGTTTTCGTCCTTGCATTCCCCGACGGTGATCGACCTGAGCGGCTTGTCAAAGGACTTGACGTGGATCCACTTGGTCGCAGACCACTTCTCGCCCTCAATGACGGGGCAGCTCCCGTGCAAGCTAGTATCGTCTGGGGTTGCATCGGGATGGAGGCTGAAGAATAACATAACGTCGCCCTTCTTCGGCTTCACTGCAGATACACAAATAATCACAGTTATGGAGGTTTCTAAGGAAATGAGGACAAAATCGAAATAGAAGAGTGGTCTGGTTCGAATTTGTTGGGGTGTGATTCATACTCCTTATTAACAAGAAGGCACGGGATCCGGCTTCTAGGTGTGCAGGCGGGGGTTGCCGCCAGAGGGCCTTTATAGTTTGGGCCCGTAAGAGAT